ATTCATAGCAAAAGTCAAGGCTGCAATGGTTAAAGTTATGTGTCAGCCGAGCTGGGCCCTGATTCTCAGTGGATTAGTGTTTACACAATAATATAATGTAGCAGTGATGGCGTGATGGAGTCATCCTCTGTTTTCTCATAATGCTGGTTTTCACACAGTGACCTGGCTTCCAGAGCCCAACCATGTCAATAAATAAGAGGTAAGCGTGTTAGACTTAATTAATGAGGAAGAATGGCAGAGGCAAGGAAGTAAAGCGGTAACATACATTTTAATCTACATACGGTTTTATTCTTATCTAATTAATCCGATTAAGTTGTAGTGGTACAGAACTATAACAAGTCTATGTGTGTGTGTGTAATAAATAACTGTTCATATATTTTCATAATTTTTTTCACGTTTACTGCTAGACTTCCTAGTAATACCTTTCAGAAAGCTTTACATAGCACTGTTCCTGTCAAGGAGCAAAAGATTTCATAAACCATCACACAAAAACAACAGGCCAGGAGGTAGCAAACTAAGGTCTGTGGGCTAAATCCAAACTGCTGTCTCTTTTTGTAAACAGGTTTTGCTGGAACACAGCCACACTCACTGATTTTGTTGAGCAGTTGCAACAGAGGCTGTATCACCCCAAAAGGCTACGATATTTATTATCTGGTCCTTAACAGAAAAAGTGCGCCAGCTTCTGCACTACGCTTCTAGGAGTATGTTGTTAAAAAAAAAAAAAGATTTGAATAGCTGTGGCATGGGGAATTAGTAAATGCATTTAAATTAAAGGTAACCTCTTTGGAAAGTTTTTTTCCAAATATTTTATCTTGCTTTTCAAATAGCACCTCTTACCGGTGAGCGTTCTTCTTGCCCCACCCTAAAAAAGAACCCACCTTTCCCCAAAAAGGCACGTGGGGAAAACAAAGAGTGGTTTTAACAGAACTCTGTTTGAAACAGGCACAGTGCATTGAGCAAAGCCACCGCAAAAGACCGTGAAAAGGTGACGATGTCACTCTGACGACTGGGGCACACCAGACCCACATCATGGTATTTTCAATCACGTCACATGGCGTGGAAGAGCCGGACAATGAAAATGGGCATCCAAGAAGACGGAAGGGCGAGCCTAGGGAATCTGCCAGGGCTGCCGGGAGAGCAAACATCCGTCTGGGAGGAAGCGCGACCCGGACGCTCTTCAGAAGCGAGGGTGGTGAGACTCCTCACTGACGCAGGCACTTGGAGGGATCCGTGGCTGGAGAAAACACCCCGTTTGTAAGCAGGGTCAGGGACAGAGGGAGGCCTGCAGTGAGAGGCACGGCCGCAGTGGCTGCCACCAGGGCCACAAACAAGGCGACTTCTCGAGTACATCATCCTGTTTGACAGTTCGGAGGGCACCTAAGTCACGTGTCGTACAGCTGAAGAGCTCGATCATATTGAGAGGAATGTCAGCTACATTATTTCTAGTGTCAGTGATAGACTCCTCGCCTTCCACGTGGGGGATCGCGGTTCAATTCTTGGCCCGCCCACCTAAAGGTACAGCCACGTCCTTAGTGGAGGCTGGCGTGCTCCTGTGATGCTGACCTGGTATCAGCAGAGCGTCCAGACTAAGACCGATGAGGAAGAAAGGGCTGGTGATCTACTTCTGAAAATCAGCCAATGGGATCCTTATGGATCGCAGCGGTTTACTCTTATGATGCACAGGGTCACTGTAAGTTACGAACCAAATCAACAGCACCTAACAGCGACAATCATGTTATTATTATCATTATTTTTTAAAGAAGCGGTAACCTGGTAACCACCTTTTCCAAGGGATATGACTCTGATTCAATTTAACAGTAGAATAATCAATTCAGGAGTTAATGACGAAATAATAGATTAATCTTATAACACTACAGTTTGTCTTTCTTTCCGAGTGAGGGTTAGAGAAAAGAACATTTCTTCTCTTTCCCACAGTGTTTGGGATATTAACCTTATATTTTATTCTATATCAGCAACTGCGTGACACTCCAAGTTCCATTGCACCTGGGAGGAATACAGGTACAGCTATCTAAGTATCCATCGACAGCTACTGGGAGGCCAGCTTATGCAAACAGCACAGGCAGCTATACAGTGACCTGACTAACCCACAGATCCTGTATTTCCTCCCTCTCCTGTGTACGACTCCCAGGGCAGGGTCAAGATGCACAGATGGAGTGGCCGACGGCCTGCGTTCTATTAGATGGGTTCCGAGAGAAGTGTTACACGATCTCGGGTTTTATGATATTTGCTTTCATTTCCTATTGATGAATGGCAATGATTGGTTTCTTATTTGTGTTTGGGGGTCCAGACTGGATTTTTTTGTTCCCCACCCCCAATTATTTGAAAACATAAAAAAACACAGGTAACTTCTGAATCCAAAGCAAGTGTATCAAAAAATATAAGTTCCCAAACCAAAAAATTGCATAAGAAAGAGAACCTCTCGTTCCTATTGCTTTCAGAACTGAGAAACTCTTCTTCAGAAAACTGCAGGACAAGCACACTTAGCATTTGCCTCCTTTTGAGTGCAACTCCATGGATGCCACCTTTGAGAAGTTGCCTGAAGTTGGTACAACACCTTGTGCTTTCCTCAGCACAAATGACCACATCCTGTACCAGGCAGCATTTTTCAGTCTCTGTGGTTTAGAACTGGCACACATTAATGTATAGCTCGGCAGGGCTGGAATGTTAGCTGTGATTTGAATCTAGAAGCTTTAGGCACAAAATCCGATTTCTTGGTCACTTTAAATATCCCTTAAGAAATTTAAGGTAAAAGAAAAAGGTCCTGAGAAACAACATACAGCACTTGCTTTCAAACAAGCAGCCCTCTAAGTGAGGTGTCCACTAAGTGAGGTTCCCACTGAGTGAAGTGTCAACAAAGTGAGGTGTCCACCAAGTGAGGCTCCCACTAAGTGAGGTGTCCACTAAGTCCACATGAAAGAAGCATGCCAACCTGCGTATACCAAGGATTAGAAATAATAAAATCCAAAAAAGGGACTGGTAACAGAGCTCAAGTTGTGAACACCTGGTTTGCAGAAGGCTATGGATGACAGCGAGAGCCCGAAATCCATGTGCAGGTCCCCACGTGGATCAAGCCTCTGGTGACGCCCCTCTGACCATTGCTGCGGGCTGTGGCGAGCCTTGCCATCAGACAGCAGGCCGTGCCAAGCCAGTTGCGGCAGACGGAGTTAGGGTCCAACTTAATACCTCATCATGTGAGCTCCCTTTTGACCCATTCTAAAGTTGTTTCCGTTTTTAATGTTTTCTGCTTTCTTTTTGACTGGGGGTTTTCTTCGTTTTGTCCAGTCATTGTTGTTGGTCTGTTTGCTCCCTGTCTGTTTTGTCTGACTTTCTGTGTACGGAATCCAGCAGAGGTGGATCTACACGACAGTCACTGGATGGATAGTTGCCTAGAGGCCTGGCAAGACAGGGTAGGGGCCCTGGGGGCTGACCACAGTGAACATGAGAAGAAAATGTTCTGCAATGGATTGTGGTGATGATTGTACACATTTCTTAATATGCTTGAATTATTAAATTGTATAATGATGTAAAGTATATGCCAATAAAACTATTTTTAAAAAGGAACACATATAGCACTATTCATGCCAAAAGCTAAAAAGAACTCAAATGTCCATCCTCTGGTGACTGGATAGCCAAATCATGGTGTGTCCGTCTAACGGAGCACCAGCCTGCCATGACAAAGAATTAAGTAGATGCTACGACTTGGACGAGCCTTGAAAACATTACTCTGAATGACATTGATACAAAATACCCATTTATCTTAATCATCCAGCATAAGTAAATTCACAGGGACAGAAAGCAGGGTAGGAGTTGCCAATCACAGTGGGAGATGGGAGAATGGGAAGCAACTGTGTAATGGGCAGGAGGTTGCTGTTTAGAGTGATGATAATGTTTTAAGACGAGTTAGGGATTGCATACATCTTTCGCCTTTTACTAAAACTAGTTAGAAGTCGGAGCTGCAAAACACTATGGAAGGGTTCACTTCAAAATGGTGAACTTTATGTTTCAGTTCGGAAATGCACATATACATTCAAAAAGTTTACCTACGCGAGTATCAGATACCAAGTCCTCCTTTCCTCCTGTGCTCCTTTGGTCACCAAAGAGTCACTACACACCTAACAGGAGCCAGGCATTTTTGTAGGTGCGGCAAACCCCTAATAGTGAAAAGGACAGACCAAGATCCATAGAAAGAGAGACAATAAACCAAGCAACTAAAACGTTATCCACGGTTAGTGCCGGGCAAAGAATTAAAACAGAGACTGGGAGGTCAGGGGAAGACTGAGGGATTTCTATTTCAGGTGAGATGTGAGTGACATTCATAAAGCAATAGAGATCGGATTTAGCAACATAAAGATGAAAATAAAATAGGTGCAATATTAATTCTGTGCTCAAATTTATGTGTGAATGCCCACAAACAGCCTAAACGGCTCTACACAGCCACAATGTAGAGACTGCCTGTGGGTGGCAGGACAGAGATGGGTTTTCCTGTCTACTCCCAGGACCTTTCCAAGCTGCTTTATGACGAGCATACATTCCCTTACTTTTATCATGGAAAGAGGGCAGACAAAGGAAGTGAATATAAGTGTGCACCAAAAGCCACTGAATGCACCCAAGTCCACAGCCGTCCAGTGGGTCCCAAGGTGTAACCACCCGACAGGACACAGGAGAACTGCCCTTCGGGGTTCCAAGACTGTAGAGTTGCCTGGTGACAGACTCTCCCACCTTTCTCCTCTGGAGCAGCTGGTGGGTTTGAACTGCTGATCTTGTGATTAACAGCCCAACCCTTAACCCACTGCATCCCCCTTCCCCACTCCGTAGTTACCTTAAAAATCTACCAATACCTGGCAACAAACCTTTAAATAAAAATATTTGTAAAATTAACAAAACCAACTGACTCCACAAATGCATTTTCCCTTGGAGAGGCTTCCAGCTTCTCTCCAACTGAGCCTCGACCTGGTGTTGCCCACACACCCTCAGCTCACCTCCTGTATCTTCATCCTCATTGGCTGGGCCTTCTGCACTGTCCACAGTTTCCATTTCATGAGGTTTGGTTAAATTGTAGTCATCCAAAATCACTGGACTTTCTAAAAGACAAAAAGAGTCTGAATCATGCAATCAAGTTAAAGTGATTTAAAAAATCATTTTATTAGGGGCTCGTACAACTCTTATCACAATCCATACATACATCATTGTGCACATTTGTACATTCATTGCCCTCATCATTCTCAAAACATCTGCTCTCCACCCAAGCCCCTGGCATTAGCTTATTTTTCCCCTCCCTCCCCATTCCCCCTCCCTCATGAACCCTTGATAATTTATAAATTATTGTTTTGTCATATCTTGCCCTGTCCGATGTCTGCCTTCACCCACTTTTCTGTTGTCCGTCCCCCAGGGAGGAGGTTATATGTAGATCCACAGGTATCCGTTAGACCTACCCTCCCTCCCCCATTCAAATTTCATCTTCACAATAACCCCCAGTGATGGCAGTACCCCTTTCACCTATGGTGGACAATATGTGAAAATTCCTCAGAGGTAAGACATATGCCCAGGTTCATCCTTGGATATTTCTTTTACCCAAGTTAAAATTCACTCCTATGCCACTTTACGCATAACCATCAGTGGGACACGATGGCTATTTTATGACTAAGAAGTAGCCATATGGACTGATGAGAAGTACTAAGCCTAAAAATGCTGGCATCACCCAATTTGGGAAGACTGCCTTCCAGAGAGGAAGCTTGAATATCAAATACCAAATCCACACCCACCCCGCCTTATGTTCTCGTTTCTGTGGGAGAGATATTGGCTGCTAAGTTCCTTGGTTTCTCTGAACATTTACTAAATGGTGACAAGGCTTTGGGTAAGAACAGGTCATAATCATGTCCTCCAGTAGTTTGTCATTTGTGGACACAGGTAAGACAAGTACACAACTATAATGCCAGCTACACTCAGGAAGGGGTCAAGGGAAAGGCGGAGTGCTGCCGCTGCTCAGAAGCAAAAGAGAGCACTTAATAAAAGCATTACCAAGGGAACAGCCAACAGAGTAAATATCATTCCCTTTGGGTTTGGGCTGGCCTGGTTGCCTTGACCAACAGTGGAAATGTTACACCCATTCTGAGCCTTGGTCACAAGAGGCCTGCACGTTTCCAAGTTCTCCGTAGAGGCATCCAACTGCTACATAGACTTGTGAGACATAACAGATCATTGTTGTTTAAGATACACACACATACACAAAAACAAAGATGAATGTGCAACAGAGACAACGTCCAGGTTGCAAAGTCTACAATATTTTGCTATTTGGGTCTTTACAGAAAAAAATGTACTGACCACTGCTCTGGAGTGGAAAATGTAAATCCTTTAAAATGAAGCTAATATATTACTCAACAAAAACTATCTTCATTTAAGACTCTAAATCAGTTAGTTTAAAAAAAATTATAACAATGATAGTTATCAGGTGGCTCTCTGGTCCAAAATAATTTCATCGTCCAAGTGGGTGAGATATTTTGAATCAGGGCGAGACAGCTACTCTTGGCTTCTTCAACACAGTGCCATAGCATTTTCTCGGCAACCAAAAAGAGAATAGTCCTCTTTCTTTCCTTTTCTTTCTTTGGAATATCCAGGCAACACGTGTATCAGGAGGAGAAAGGTGTGGGATTACCTGTGGGCACAGATGGGCCCTGAGTGTTTTTCAGTTCCACATTAGGTTGTATGTCTGAAAAGAAAGGGGATATAAGTATGAACCACTTGGTGTAAAAAGCATTCCAAATAGAATACGAATATTATTCTGGAAACCTTAGCAGATTTCCTCTTCAGAGTAACAACTGTTCCTCTCTACCTTCCCAAAAAGTAGAACGAAAGGAATTATCTACATAGATATTTTACTCTAAGAACTTTCTGCCTAGAGAAACAGCATAGACATCTATTGATCAACAGAACAGTGGGAGGGGGGGATCTTACTAAAGAGAATTTCAGGTCTTGTTGTTGTCTTAACTCCCATATTTGGTCATGAACATTTTAAACATATAGAACAGTTAAAAGATTTGTACAGTGAAATACACACAGACTCCAATGAGCGTTTTGCTAATTTTTTTATCATTTATCTATCCACCTATTCATCACCCCCTCCATCCATTAATTCGTCTTTTTCAATTCATTTCAAAAATCAGTCACAGGTATCAGTATCCTTCACTGTAACAGTTCAACAAAAATAGCATTAACTTGAACGGAATATCTGTTTCCAAGGTTCCTTTTCTTCGAAGTAAACTTGCCGTCTAGTGAAATGACCGTTCTGAAGAGCACCACTCAATGAGTCCTGACAAATGCCTATCCCTGTGGAAGCAGAACCCCTGTCAAGGCACAGGACGTCACCACCAGCCCAGAAAAGTTCCGTCATGTCTCCTACTAAATAATCCCACGACGGGGAGGGAGGGGAAAAATGAGGACCTAATGTCGGGGGTTTAAATGGAGAGAATATGTTTTGAGAAACGATGTACAAATGCGCTTTACACAATTGATGTGTGTATGGATGGGGATAACAGTTGTATGAGCCCCTAATAAAATGTTAAAAAAGAAAAAAATAATAAAATAAAATAAAATGCATGTGCATCCAAAAATAATAATAATAATCCCACGAGCCTAGCCCATTTTTGAACATCATAAAAATGGAATCCTACAGCTGTATGGTATACATTCCTTTGCCTTTCCCTCTGCATGATGCGCCTGAAGTACACTTATGCTATGGGATACGACGCCGCTCCCAAGAGGCTGTGGTCACTGTTCGACCCTTCCTGTCCAGGGAAAGAAGAGTGAAGAAAACCCAAAGTCACATGCAAAGAGTCAGTCCAACGACGCATGGAGCGCGTGAAGCCGGGCTCTACGACCCTGAGACCAGAAGAACCAGAGAGGACCCAGCTACTAGTCCCAGCTGCTCTGAAAGGGATCAGGTTACAGGTCCTTGCCAGAGTGAGTGGAAAATGTGGAACCGAACTCAAAATCACACACACACAAAGGGCTAGGTTGACTGGTCAGACAGAGACTGGTGGAACTCCCGAGGCTACCGTCCTCAGCCACCCTTCAGTCTGGAAATGAACTCACCTCCAGGGCTCCCTTTTCAGCCAAACTATAGACAGGCCAGCAAGGGCAACGATAACACAGGGAGCTAGGCTCACCTTAGACTAATCAACCATTTGAGATCCACAGGGCAACTTTTTTTTTTTTTTAGGGCAACTTTTAACAAGAAACAGAGAAGGAGGGGGGTAAGCATTGTGATCAATGGCATGAAACAAAATATGCACGAAGTGTTGAATGGAAGACTGATGTCTGCAGACCTTCACTCGATTCACAATTACAAGTTTCTGTGTTTTAGTTGTAAATCTCCTAGACACTTATCACAAGTGGTTTGTTAGGGAAGTAAATGAGGATTGGGATAGATTTCTGGATCAGGACAGAAACTTGTCCTGATCCAGAAATCTCCCCCCCCACCCCCACCCCCGCTGGGCCCTGCCACTTTAGCTTTCAAATGTGTACAAATCAACGAGTCATGTATCTTTGTCTGAAAAGTTGGCTTTTACATGTATACTTTTCTTTCCTCAACAGATTTTTAAATCCTATACCATTGGCTAAATTAATGAAACTGTCAGTGGAAATACCCTAAGGCCATGGGGATGATTTATAATGTTTTCTATTATAAAATGAAGATCATGTTTCTGAAGCGAACCAGAGACATATAAACCACAGATACATACGTGGATCTGGGGCTCACACTTAGTGGTGCCCCAATCGAAGAACAATTAGTTGTTATGACACAGCCCTGCCTGATGCTGGCCCTCATGAAGAGAACACTGAAGATATGGGTGCTGCTATAGCAAAGTGTGGTGAAGAAATCAGATAGTGCCTGGCTATCAGAAAAATACTATCTGGGGCATGGGGAGAGAAGGTGGCAGGGGCAGGGTGCAGTGAGCAAACACCAGCACAGACAGAGAAATAATTAAGGAATTAAAACCAACAACAAGGAGGATGTAGTGATCCCGGTGGGGCAGGAGGACGGTGAAAGGAAACAGAGGAAGGATCTAGGAAGCAAAGCTATGGATAGAGGTACAAGCACAGGTGTGCACATGTGTAAATCCATTAATCCATAAAAAGAGGAATTGGCCTATGTACATATATATCTATATGGCAATACACTGAGGTAGTGGGCAGACTTTGGGCCTCTGCTCAAGCCCTCCCTTGATACAAGAACACTTTGTTCTAACAAACTGCCATTCTGTGATGCTAACCCTCCTGGCACAATCACTGAAAACAAAATGGGTGCATAAGCAAATGTGGTGAATACAGTGGCTGGTGCCCAGCTATTAAAAGATATAGCGTCTGGGGTCTTGACGTTAAAGAAGTGACCATCCAGCAGAGAAGCAACCAGCCCACATGGAAGTAGCACACCACCCTGTGTGATCATGAAGTGTCATCGGGACCAAGACCCATAACAAACAAATAAACAAAAACATATTGTTGGGAATGAGGGGGGTTGGAGCAGAGACCCAAAGCCCATATGTAGACAATGGAACAATCTCCCTACAGAGGGGCCACAGGGAAGAAATGAGTCAACCAGGGCACAGTAAGGCACCAATGAAACACACAATATTCCTCTGGTTCCTTGAGGCTTCCTCACCCCCCACT